ATGTCACCACTCAGCGCCATTTTCCTTATGTCTTCATGGACCTTCCTTGTTTCATCCTGGATAGTGGCTCTGACGCTCACTAATCTTCGGCCTCCTTCCTTCCGCTTAGTGTACAGTCTCAGGATGCTGGACTTGGGGTGAAACCCATCATGCATTGTAAGGAGCTTCCTTGTCTTGATGTCAGTGGCCTCTATCTCCTCCTTCGGCCAACTTATTATGCCAGCGGGGTACCTGATGACCTCTTTCCATTCAGCTGACTTCTCAGGACTTGCCTTGGTCTCTGCAGGTACTTGGTAGTTGCAGAGAGTAACACTGTGTGTGTGTGTGTGTGTGTGTGTGTGTGTATATATATATGTACACATACTGTATACAGTGTATATATATGTACAGGTCTCTGTTTATAAGTACTCTACTCTTATTTTATTATCTCTTTCCTAATGCACATCCCCTTGCTTGTTGACATGTATGTACACATTGAGAGCCGATGCACGCACCAGAGTCAAATTCCTTGTGTGTGCGACACACCTGGCCAATAAAGCTGATTCTGATTCTGATACATACATACATATACAGTATATCAAACCTGGCTGAAACAGGTTTGAAACTCAGACAGGCAAAGGCTGATACATGAAATAATGTCAAGTTATTTTTATAATGGTAATTTTCATTAATGCTCTCTGTGTTTTTCTCTTTTAGACCCCCTCTCAACAAGCTGCCATGCTGGATAATGACCAGGAGGGGGTATCAGCAGGCAACCAGTGGGCTCCTTACTCACTTGGCCGGAGGGATGTACCACCTGACAACCTCATGAAAAAGGTGATTTGTCTTATCAGTGGACTTTTTTTACGGTATCTAATCCAGTCTATTTTACACTGACTATCAACACAGAGCAACAGTAACATACTGTGACAACATTTGGCTTAGTAACTCCATTTAGATATATAAATGATCTTTCTGGAGTTTTATAACCTTGTTTCTAACTGCCCCTCCTCTGCCCATAGAGTGCCCACTCCCACAACCCTTCCCACCAGTCACACAGCACCATGATCGTCACTTCTTCTTCCTCTTCCTCGGCCACTACATCTCATCGTGTGGTCGGGCAGCAGGGCTACGATGGGATGATGAACAAAGTGGGCCAGTATCAACCAGGGATGACTATTTCAGTGGTCCCCTCTGGGGGCCCGGGGCAGTACCAAGGCAACATGACTCAAGGTAACAAATAAAATCTGAAATGGTTCAGCTGTGCTTGTTCAGCTTTATTTGAGGTTAAATTGTTGGGATTACAAGCAGCCATCCATGCATCTGGTCCTCACATCCAATCACAGTATGAAATGCAAAACAAATGTAGCATAATTGTTTGTGTAAAACAGACATGGACATGCTGTTTCTTTATGTTACTGTATGTCAGACACGACATTTAATTTAATTGAGGGTCACAAAATACTAACAGCCTCATGATTACCTTTAGTATTTATTAGCCAATTAGCACATGCTGGTGTAGGGCTGTGCAATATATCAAAATAATTTGATTCATTAGTTTTGATTTGACTTGTTTTGATTTGTTTGTTAGTTTTTTGTTTTTAAATGATGAGAAAAATTCCTAAATTGCAAAACCAAAATAGGCCCTTCCTCTGATGACACTCAAATGTTAGTTAGCAGTTCTCTGGAGTTTTGACAGTCATGTACTGTAAGTTGTTGTTGTTTCCTTTGAGACGCCTGCACGTGTTTATCTGTAGATTACTTTTACATAGCTCTTAAACATGTTCCAGATATGTTCTTACCGTCATTATCAACCAGTGGTGCTTTATTTTATTTCAAATGCTTTCAATGCTTGTATAAAGGGAAATCAGCCTTGTGACTAATGTTTTTTTGTTGATATTGTACAAATGGCCCTGTTTACTGGGGTTTAGCTAATTTTAAACTATTTTTGAATCATGTTTTTTCTTAAGTTCATGTAGACAGAAAACAAATTGATTAAATTTGTAAATTGACAATAGCACTGAGAACAAAAACAGATTTATGTTTGTGGTTATATCGCGCGGCCCTACTCTGGTGTCCTTCTGTTTATTCTGAAAGCTTTTGATATTGACATATTTTGTTAGTTTCATTTGTCTTAAACTCATTTTAAAGTGCAGTAGCACAAAAAAGCTGAATTAAATCAACAGTTTTAAATATAAAACCTTCACTTTTCCAACAGTAGTAAGTCAATTTGAGGTATGTATGCCATGTGATAGCCTACAAAATGATCAGTTATAGGCAATGTTAATTTAAAGTGCTACCAGTCTCTTTATTTTGTCCATACAGCCCATCCCGCTCCTGGTCAGGCTTACCCCAGTGCTGGGCTGCCCATGGCCCTGTCCTCGTCTGGAAACCAGCCCCAGTACAACCCCCATACCTCCCATCAGCCCTCTCTTCCTGCCACTAACCCCCAGTACCATGGCAACCAGGGCATGGTCCATAGTAACCAGGTTGTCATGGCCACTCACACCAATCCACGGCCTCAGAGCGCTCGTTGCCTGTTGCAGACTAAAGGCCAAAAGAGCACGGACGGTTTCCAGGAACAGGTATCTGTCTGTTTGTTTATCTGTCTGTCTGTCTGTGTCTGCAGACCACATCCCACACTGTCTTGGAGATCTGTTTAAAAATGGACTGTGCTCAAATTGCAGCAAAATATATAGTAACTAGGTCAGAAAAGACATTAGGTTTGTGGATGTGGGGTCACTCAGCAACACTACAAGCAACGATGAATGATTTGATAAGCTGAATTTGTTTTTAAATGTAGGCAACTGTGACAAACTAAACTGATGATAGCATTGTTCAGCTCTGGCTCTGCCAAAGACTGTTTGCAAGTGTTGCTTGAAACAAATAGACTGCTGTTGTTTTGGTTGTGATTGAAAACAGCAGACAAATTTGGCCAGACAGGAGCTGTTAATGCATTAAAACCAGCCCGACCAGATTCATTAACAGCAGAGGAAATGGTTACCAGATCAGATGCCGATGGTTCCAGATAAGGGCAGTAAGCTGTCAACTAAAGAAGACAGTTGCTTTTTAGACAGAAATTCCACTACAGTGTTGTTACTCTGCCTCCAGCTTTGCCTATTTACACTGTACAAAGAAAAAGCTGGGATACCGTCTCCCCTGTTCATTTCACAGAGAAAACGGCATTCAGGTATTAGCAGCATAACATTTATCGTAACGTCCAGTGTGACATAACACCACATCAGAAATACAAAGCATACCAATAATGCTGTTGCTTTCAAATCAACAATAAGGATGTGCTTTTTCTCCTCCTTGTGCATAGTGCACAAAATGTTAATGATTGTAGCCCCAGTAAAAAAAAAATAAAAAAGCTGTATCTCCCATCTGCCAAGGCAGAACTGTTGCACCAGTTTTACTACCACTCACAGCAGAATAAATAGCAGCTTGGTACCTTTCATACAGAGCAACATGGCATATTGGCATAATAATCCTGCCTTGAACAGGCAGTGTAAAAGAGGCTATTGTTAACCACTACAGTAAAGTACAATTTTATCCACTTAACAACAACAGTTTGTGAAGAACCAGGTCTAGAAAAAGCCATGGAGGCGTAATTCTAAATCTGATATTTCACAGATGGAGAGAGTGCACCAGTTTAGGTAAGAACATGAAATCAGCAGGCAGGTCGGCTGTTCTTCCTGAGGGGTTTTGTTTCTCCCTCCCTAGTATGAGGTGGCTTTCATTGTGCCAAATAGAAAACTCTGATTCTTTCTCAACTGAAAATGGAGGGCTTCCAGTAAGGCTGCCAGAATATGTCACACATAACATGAATGTACTCTTCTCTCTTCTCTGTGTTTGTGTAGACATTCTTGGTGTCTGTGTTTCACTTTGAGTTGTCTTTTTTTCTTTCTGTCTCTTTCTTTTTCTCCCCTTCCTCTCCCTCTAGTTATGTGTGAGAATAGAGAAGAACCCCGGTCTTGGCTTCAGTATCTCTGGTGGTATCAGTGGCCAGGGGAATCCCTTCAAACCCTCTGACATGGTACGACTCGACCCGACCTGCCAGCCAATCACAGCCCCCACTGGCATTTCCTCATAGTTACTATGGAAACTGCTGGTCCTTACCGCAGTGTTTCATCTATCTCTTTGTTGGTCTGTCTGTGGGGCAGCAGCTGACTTGGCTAACTTTGAGTCACTTTGTGATTTCGCACTAAAAACTGTTGGAAGTTTAACTGGGGCTCATGTATTTGAAAGGGTAAAGAAGCCTGAAGTGTAATGGAATCAGTTTTCCTTGTACATTACTTGCATATCTAGGACACAGATTTCTGGTGTATATGTAAAATATAACGAAACTAAACCTCAGTCTCATATGCAGGATAAATCAGGCCTGAGTCTGTCAAACTCTCTCATTAGGACTGATGACACAAGATGACACATGTATGCATCTGCACATCAAAAATACAGTATTTTTATGTGCTTAGTTTATCTTTACATCCTCCTCATTATTGTGTGGCTTGAAATAGATTTGTGCCCACATGCATACGCAGTAGGGATGGGACAGTATATTGAAATTGAATATAACACGATACAAAAATGTCACAATATGTACGGTTTTGTTTAGTGATATATATCGTGTGATCTCGATACACCAGCAACTTCATAGTTTTTGTAATTAAATTTTTTTTTTAATTTAAATAAAATGGCAAAAACAGAACGCAAGTCAGTATACAGTACATGTATCTGGTTGTTTTTTACATAATCAAACCAGTGCTAGAAACAGGGTAACAAAAGAGGAATACAGTACAAGTACAAGTACAAGCATTCCTCAGCTAGTCATACAAATCATACACACCATATTGTGCATTGAACTGTATCGAGAAAAAGTCACATCATCCCATCCCTAATGCACAGTGTCAAGATATACCAAACTCTTTTATTGTTTATACTTCTGAGTCGGACTGATTCTGTCAGTTTGCGCTGATTCTGAGAGCCTGTTGTGGTTGCAGATCCCCCAGGCCTGCTGCATGTGGCAGTCTCTCCTAGAAACATGCTGCTATAATCGGTCTAACGCAGCGAGGCTGCTCACAGAGCTCTGACAGATATTTTAGGAGGACTGCTTAGTTCTTGGACATTGTGTGTAATTTTAGATGCTGAACACTTTGATCTAGAGATGGGAAGTATGACAGATTTTACTTACTCTTATTCAGATATTGATGAACTGGGTAAGTGCCGAGACAGCTGGTCTGTAAAAAGAACATCTACATTCATTCTCCGTACAGCCTATGTGACAAATAGTGAATTAACTAAAGACAGGGGTGTGGGGTGATGATATAGAAACCATCAATTCACCATTTAACTTTAGTTTTGAGTAGACGAGTGACTCAGTTGCTGACTTGTACAGTTATTGAGTCAGTCCCATCTCTGCTTGTATCTGTAAAGCTTCCACCAACTGCAGTTTGTCTCTTATTAATGTTACACAGGCAGCAAATGGAGTCAGTGCAGATGAGCAGTCTCAAATGAGTATGCTAAATGCATTATTAATATACTATTCATGAGCATAAAGTATATTTTTTAACTCTAAAATGTATAAGATTAGGTATGTCAATATAGATCTACATACTTCTATCCATGTCAGTGCAGATTAATAGAAACCATGCAGTGTTTCACTTTAGTCTGGAATGTTTTCCTTTAGCTTTTTAAAATCTCAGTGAATAACAGTCACCTGCTGATCTTTTGGGCACATGCAGTGATGTCAGTTATCTCAGCAAATACAAATTTTTCACTCAGTAGAGTGAAATGTGGATTGGGATGTACTATATGTAGCATGAAATGAACTGCACGTCAGCTTTGCTCATCTCCCCCCGCACCACATGACGTCTCATGGTGGCTATTTGACTTTTGTCAAAGTTACCAGGATACGAAACAGCTTTTTTGTCCTTGCACCAAATTACCTCTTAATACCTTGTTGCTACTCTGGCGTACTCTCTTGTCACTTCCATCCATTTTGTTATGCCCTATATCTTTTAAAATTCCTGAATAGAACATAAACATTTCTTTACAAATGTGAATATTTGTGTGTTGTTTCTTTTATAGAAACACAACAGTCTTTTGGCAGAATGCTAGACTTAATTCAGATTCAAAGATGGTTTAGAAAACTGACCACTTTCCATGTCACATTGTGTTCGACATCGACAAGTTGTTTCAGAGTTTAGGTTCCCCAGTTATATCTTTGTTTTTTGTAACCCTTTGCTGCACCCGCCAGAAGACATTATCAGGTTTCTAAAAAAGAATTTAGGATGAGCATCTAGGTTTGACTTAAAGACGAGCCACTCGGTAAGTTTCACTTCTAGCTTGTTAGGATCCAGAGAGCGGAGCCAGTTCCTTCTCAGGCTCACTTTAAGAACAGAGGAGGGTTTTAAGGAGCACAGCATGGATTTTTAGTCAGATCTGGGTCATAAACTGTTCCGGGTGTTGTCTTTGAATACTCAGCTGCTGTCAATAAACAAAATTTTCAACTATCATCTCTACAATCGTCTATATATGTTATGACAGAGCTGCAAAAACCTTGTCCACAGTATTGTCCTTTTAATATAACCTGTACAGTTTTTAAGCTCAACTGTGGTCACATTCAACAGTACTATGACAAAACATTTCTGAAACATTCTGAAATTTTGAGTGGATGGTTTTTGCAGTACAGCTTTGTGTGCAACGGTTTTATAGTCTGTAAATGTTGCAGCTAACGCTAAGTTTAAATTGCTAACAAACATGTTTGTAATATACAGTGAGCTTCATATGTGATCTGTTAAAATTTACAGTATGCTTTGTTAGTACTTGCAAAATAAGTAAAGTACTAAATTAACTGACTGCTTCCAAATAACAATTACTGAAATGAGTGTTTGTGTTATGTTGTCATAAATGACATGTATCAGCCATGTATCATACCAAATGAACAATTTCATAGCCGTATTTGGTTGTACACAAATGAGGCCCGCTGTATACTGTAAATGTCAATGTTGCTGCATATAGTAACTTGTCTAATACTTCTAACGTGTGCAGTTCTTTAACATGCTGTTTATTTGTTCCTGTATTCACTCACAGACTGTAGTATGTAGGTGCAGCAGCACTCTCACTACTACATCATACTGTTCTTGGTTAGCTTCTTGGTGTGACTCTTTTATGGCATATTTATCTGTTAGTTATGTGTGTTCAACATGTGCACACCCTGTGGAAACATGCTGAGCCGATTCAGCTGCATTGTCCTACAGTTTGTGTTCAAGAACATCTTTCAACACTTGGTGAAAAGATGTTGGTGTTTTTACAATCTCTGCCTTGGGATATTGAGGGAAAATTTGGGGCATGACATTTCTTTTGCCCTCCCTGCTACCTGATTCTTTCCTCTATTCAGAACCCATCCCACACCTAATCTTACTCCCCTAATCTTACTGTATATCCATTTTTCTCTCCTTCTAACCTCATGTCTATTCTATGCCAAGTCCTTATCTGTATAAACATCTGATTTTGACATGTCTTTTTGGGAGAATGTTTCACGCTGCTTTTGTAAATTTTAAGACAGATGCTAGTGAGAAGTAAACTGAAGAACTTTAAATGACTAAAATTTGATCATTATGAATTGCTAGCAATTTTATGTCAATAGTAAATCAGAAACATTTGCATGCCTCTCCAAATTTAGAATACACTGGCGAACTGGATATATATTTTTGCAGAAAGGTGATTTTTTTTTTTTTGAGGTGGTGGGGGTAGATATTCAGATGAGAATGAGAAAGGCAAAGATTCTAAACCATCGTGTCCCTGTGTTGTCCTAACGGTGTATCATTTTGACTTATAGGGTATCTTTGTTACTAGGGTACAGCATGACGGGCCTGCCGCCTCCGCCCTGCAGCCCGGAGACAAGATACTGCAGGTAACTCCCTCACACGCATCATCAAGCAGGCCAGAAACAGCCACCCCCTGCCCTCTCTCCCTCCGTAATCATCCCCTCAAGTTATAAACATGGAGGCAGAGCATTAAGCAGGACAAAAGTCATGTTAAATTGATGTTTCCTCACACAGTCTCTTGAGCAGACACACACACACACACACACAACCACTGACTAGCTACACCTGTGTCACAAGTTGGCTCACTCACCAGTGTTATGATTTGTATTTAGGCCACACAAATGTGCCAGACTTCAACATCTTCCTGCCTGTATATTCTGCCTCAGTGTGTAAACATTTTGATCCAGGAAACTGGCATGACACCAACTCCATCTCTCATTTATCATTACCCAGTGACCACCAAGAATGTATGAAGTCATAGTTTTACAGGTTTGTTTAAATTGCCTAAGAAGTAAAACCCTCATGAGGACAATGAGCAACATTTGATAAGACACCAGGGCTGAACCCAGATTAGGTAGCTTAATAATGCAATAATAATTCAACCAGCTCCAGCAGAATTCATCCGTCTCTCATCATGGCTGCCACTTAAATATTTCCAGGTCAGTTAATGTCTCTTAACAGACCAGATCTAAACCCACATTTCCCTATAGACCAGTTAAGGTTGAATTAAAGTGTATGGTTTGCCAGATGTGTAGATTGTGAACTAACTAAATTGAGTGTATTAGAGTAAACATGAATATAGCATGATGTTGATGCTGAAATAATGGATTATTAGGCTCTGCAGGGATATTACTTATCTAGGGGCAACAATGACTACTGAAGGAAGTTCCACCTCCCATGTAACTCAGTTACATTAAATGAGTAAACACCAAACAAACAGTAAAAATCCCACCCATTTACCCTCCTCCACCTCTCGTTCCTTTTATGTTTTCCACCCCTGTCATCTTCTCTCCACAGATGTACAGCTTAGCTGGATGAACTCATCTAAAAGCCCTTTTTTTGTCTTTACCCCTTCTCTTTCTACAGCATGACTGTGTAGCTCCTCCTCTTCTCTCTCTTTTCCCCAACAGTGATGTGTTACTGAGATAATGATGGCAGTGACCCTCCATCCCTGCACAAACACACTCACACATAGACACAGTATGGAAATACTGCAGCGCACATACCTCTGTATGTACATGCACACACACACATGCTGTTGACTGTGCTGCATGTTTGCCTTGCAGGCTAACGGACATAGTTTTTTACACATGGAGCACGAGACAGCCGTCTCTCTGCTGAAGAGTTTCCAGCGGATGGTGGACTTGGTGGTTCTGAGAGACAGCAGTATGTGCTAAAAATAGTTTTATAACAAACACAACACAACACAACAACGCTTCTCTTCCCTGCTCATCGCCATCCCACACCACCCCACCTGCCTTCCCTTGGAGGCTTGTGGAACTGAAAAATGAGCCGCCTTTTTTACCTTTTTAGGGGAACAAACAGACATTTATTTGCCTATTGCTGGACCAAAGGCAAATATTAGTGCCAAATGTACCATAGGAAACATATCGGTTCCTCTGTCCAGCGCCAGTCAGGGACCTGATCCACTGCTAGACAGGCCACAAGAGGACTCTACAGTCCCTACGGGGCTGCTGCAGTATGGACTTTGTGGTTGGTTTGTTCATTAGGCAGTCTGAAGAGTTTGTTTTTGTTGGTTAGTTAGGGTTCTGGGGTATTTTGCCTTTTTCCGCTGCCTCTTATTTCGCTGTCCACAGTGAACTTTTAATTATTCGTTTGGTCTAGCACATGGTTCACTTTCCGTGGTCTTCATTGTTCCTCTGTTGGGTTTTTTTTCTTCTTTTTCTTCTTCTGTGTTATATATTTTGTTCTGATCTCCCTCTTTTATTGTCTTGTGCATCTGTCTTCTGTTCTGCCCTGCAGGAACTATTGCCTCTAGTGTGCAGAAATTGAAAACAAGATTTTCTGTCTTGTGTATATACTTGGAGCTGCACCCTCACTGGGGCCTGGACAGCTCTAAAAGTTTATGATGATTATAACTGTTGATAAATCACATCTGAATCCTCGATTATGAACATACAGAGGTCATTTCATTATACCGCTGATTTAATTCTGTATGGAAAACACTTTTCATAGTTTGTCACTTGCTCTTTGTTTGTAAAACTGTTGCTTGCACAGCTGTGCTGAAAAGTGCAGTATTTACTGTATGAGGCTCAGACCACTGAGATTTTTGGCAGAGTCTAACTTGTCCTGCAGTGCCATCTATTGAGTAAGTCATGCTAATGTTTACACACACTGCCACACGCTTGAACTAACTGGCAGACACACAGCACAAATTCACTGGTGTGCTCTGTGCACTATTGCATAGCGAAGACCTGGCTATGCTATCTGATTTTAAATTTTAGATGCCATTATAAAACCACCCTCACACACACGAACGCACTGTTTTCATGTCTGTGCCATATTTTGAGGTCATGTTGTTTAGCATTGCTAGTACTGCTACTATGCTAGCATAGTAATGTCACATCCCTCTCTAACTGTTTTTGTATAAAGTCACACCATGCTTTCACATCATTGGTCACTACCAGCCCGCCACTTTCTGCTGGCTTCTGGAGCTCCAGACTCTGGATGTGTTATACCACTGAGTTTCAGTGAGACTGATGTTCTAACGTTGGTGCCATATGGACCCTCTGCCCCTCCCTTGTTGTATTTACATAGGCCCAAAGTGTCTGAGTTTTACAGTACCTCTTTGTGGCCCATATCTGATCTGCACACAGTAAAAGCAGCATCGTGGCCTTTTTTTTTCTTCTTTTAACTCTAAACCTGTGTTCATATCATCAGGTGTCTGCTCACATCTGCTCTGGTGATGTGTCCTGACCTCTGATCCTCCTGTGGAAAAAGAAAGGAAATTGTTCCTATAAGAATCAATAGGTTTAACACACAGTATTAGTGTCTTAATGGGTAAATTTGCATGGACTCCAATTTTCCCGTTTGAGACAATCAGGAAGAGATCTGATCTGTGTCACGAAGGCTTCTGGCTACACTTGAAACTTCCTTTTAATTTTTGTAACCTGGGGAAAAGCTAACTGACAATAGATGCACAGGGAAGTTTGCCAGCTTTGTTGGTGAATATTCAAAGTTGTATATGGATCATGTCCGGTTGGGAAAAAGTGATGCAGACTCAGATGTAGGAGCTGATATTGCATGAGATGTTTCTGGCTGAAGTTGGAGCCATGGCAAAGTGGTCTTATAAAATCCAAATTTTATTGACATGACAGAAGTCACCACAGAAAAAGACTGAAGTGGTTCGTTTTCTGTTTTTGTGTAAATGCAACATGTCCTGAAGATGTTTCTTGTCAGTGAGTTTTGTTCTGTTCTGTGTAACATCAGATGTTTCATCAGAGCAAAACAACATCCGTCACTGCCCTCCGCTTTTACTTGACGTGGCGGTGTCACCCTGTGTCCATTTTGTGTCAACTCTCCCAATTAAGCATCAGAATTAATTCAACAGGAGGGACACAAAATGGCACAGAGTATTTGTGTGGCTGAGAGATCTCAACCACAGGTACCCACGCAACCCTATGTAGAGTTTGAAATATTAAAGATATTGTGATGAGAACAGAGAAAAAGGTTTGATAATATAATTATTTTTTACTACATGTTTCAGGTAATTCTTTCTAAATATACTGATATACCTTAGCTTTGCTCAAAAATTGTGATATTTTATAATGACACTTATAATAAAGTTATGGATGGAAATACGCACAGTATGACTTGGAGATCTACACATGTACTATCTAAAACTGTATAAAATGTATTTCTACTGTAATTGTGAATTTGTGTTATAAAAATATATATTATATATATATATATGTATATGACTATAAAAACAGTCATTTTCTATGTGTTTAAACTAAATAAGAGCTGAACAAATGCAGAGGATGGTGTTACTGTACATAGCTGTGAATGAAATCCAATTTAAAATGACTCATATTGATTGTGAATGTACTCCTGCTTTCTGCGGTACCTACACCTACCCGACTTGAATGCTGCTTCTTCTGTTCTGTGACAAAAAAGTACTTTGACCTCCGAAGAGAGAACCGCTGTTGCGTTATAAGTTGGGAAAATTTTAGTGCCGATTTAACAGAACTATTTATTTATTTATTTAATTATTCATTTATTTATTTTATTAATTTATTTATTTGCACATGCAAGTTGAAATCCTTCCAGTTTTAAGTTTGAGTATTAATGCAGAGAAATGTAATTGCTGAAGTATATATAATATATACCATGTCTTTAGAATGCATTTTGCAGACGCTATCTGTACATACTATTTAAGATACAGTTTTTACAAAAAATAATATATGTATAAAATGAGAAAATGCTTTGCAGCGATTATACTGGAGCCATTTTGGGCTTTGGGATGTACCATTTTTTCAGTATATAAGAAGTGTTTTGAATAATGTACTAAAGTCTCTATTGTACAAATAATAAAAATGTCACTATTGGTAATCTGGGCTCCATCTGGTGCACTGGGCTCTGTCTTTAGCTGGAACGTGAAGGGTGACATTGCTCTTTCTGCTTCTCTATCTCTGTGTCAGTTGTTGCTGAAAAGCACAGGTTGACATAGGGGCTTAATAGAGGAATGATATAAATAAAAGGAAGTGATTTAAATAAAGAGAAAACGGATAGTTGGGGAAAAATAAGGAAGGGAATAGCACAAAGAGGACTGAAGCTGGAAGGGCTGACAGACAGGAATGAGAAGGAAAACATGACATACTGTAAATGAAAGAGAAAGTGAGAGAGGGTGGATAATAAAGGGATAAGATTGATAAAGAAGGGATGTAGAGAAAAGATGAGGTTAAGAAAGGCAGTGAGGGAAGAGGATCACCTCAGCAGATTCAGTTTCCTCTGTGGCTTAAACTCAGCAGATCATAACAGCAGATGCTCCTTTGTATCTCTATCTCTTATTCTGACAGCCTGACTCTTCTTCTTTCCTTTATATTCATCCATCTCATTTATTCTTGACACTCATCTGAGATTTGGCTGAGCTTCTCTGACTGCCTCACAGAGTTTTCCATTATGGTATGAAACCATGGCAGCTGGGCGGCATAGTGGATCAGTGGTTAGCGCTGTTACCTCACAGCAAGAAGGTTCCAGGTCCACATCCATTCCGGCCTGGGGCCTTCCTGTGTGGAGTTTGCATGTTCTCCCTGCATGGGTTCTCTCTGGGTACTCCAGCTTCCTCTCACAGTTCAAAGCCATGCAGTTTAGGTTGACTGGTGACTCCAAATTGCCCATAGGAGTGAGTGTGTGTGGTTGTTTGTCTACATGTCAGCCCTGTGATAGACTGGTGACCTGTCCAGGATGGACCCCGCCTCTCGCCCAAAGTCAGCTGGGATTGGCTCACGTGACCCTATTCAGGAATGAGCGGTATAGATAATGGATGGATGGACCATGGCAGCTTTTGTATTTTTCAGTTGCTCAAACAAAAAAATCCACTGTGGTAAGTATATAAATCTTTCTGTTTTTGCAAACAGCACATGCAACAGAAAACCTGATCAATAATAATTACATTTTGTGGAAAATGAACCACTGTGATAGACTGGCGACCTGTCCAGGGTGGACCCCGCCTCTCACCCCATGTCAACTGGGATTTACTCTATTAGGTACACCTGTAAAGGTGTCTCAATATTTTTGTCCTCCCCAGCTACATACATGAGAGGGGGTTAGAATATTAGGAACACCTCTGAATATAGTGTAGTCCAGTACAACAACACCTTTAACTATTACCTCAATAATAAATATATAATTGAATTTATACATTTATGACAATTTCACCAATAACTCCAACATTTTGACTTTCATAAACACGGATGTTAAGGGGGAAGCATTTCACTGAATTGCATACAATTGTACAGATGAAGCTAACAAAGTGGCCAGTGAGTGTGCATACAGTGCAGAACTATTTTACATATAAATGAATGTTTCTGCACTGTGATTTAGCTACTTTTATTCTAAAGAACTGAGTGCTCGTACCACCGCTAACCGCTCACCAGCTGCATCATTATATACCACTACACTGTGATACATGAGATGTATGATTAGATTATAATAAGATAGGTATCATTTCTACACCTTCTTTCCTTGTGTGTGTCTTGTGCCATACACCACTAGAACAACTCCATTTACTGTGGTACAGGCTGACAATTAACAATAGAGGGTAAGAGTACACACGCACAAAGACACACTAAAACAAGCACTGATGAAAGCAGAATGACATCTCTTTGTTCTCTTTCGCCTTTGCTTGCTCTTTTACTCACTGGTTTGGACAAAATGATACTTCTGTGTGCTGACTGACCAACCCACTTATACAACCATGCATACATTTCCCCCCACACTTTCTCACAGTGTCTGCATTTGCATATGATATACAGAGGAAGGGTTTTGTGCACCCACCAAAGCAGTCAATAAGCTCTTGTGACCTGATCAATATCAATACCAGAGAGAGTCCATGACCTGCATTCAGCTGCTGCCTCTGTGCTGTGTGTGTGTGGTGAGTGTGCATATTTATGCAGATGATGTATCTCTACAGCCACTCTACTGTCTATGACGGACACACACATACAGTATGTTAAACTTTCCTTTTATAATTTCCCTTCTTTTTACCCAACCCAACACCTGTAACATTAATCAAATTAAATTTTTTATAAAATGTGTCAGTAACACGAATGATAGAGCAGATACATTCTGGCAATTGGGAAAATCCACTATATGCTTTGTTTTCCAGAGTTTGATGAGAAGATTAATACCAGTGTCCTCTGTATTCAACCACTTCACAGATACTGGAGGTAGCTGATCCAGGCTGAGGGGCAGGGCCAAGCCTGGGATTGTGCAGTTTAATCTCCACTGTTTACCATAACAATAGCACCAGACTCGCACAGGGATGAACTTGTCTGGGCTGCCAGGGGGATTACACCTGTGATGTTGCAACTGGACCTCTTCTTGTATAAATAGGCATCAGGCTTACAAGCCCTACAGTAAAGTACCTTCTTGCCATTCTGTTTTACTATACTTTTTCTTGCATATCTGTACAGTTCAACATTGCGTTTAGTCAACAAATCTATGACAAGACCTTTAACAGTAATGACAGTGGGAGCAGGGTAAGTTACACCAACCTCTGGGAGTCAGAATCTGTAAACACCACTACACACAGCGTTGAGTGGATTAGATGTAAATCCAGTAGAGACACTGGAATAGACAGTAGGCCTACCTGTTTATCGTGACAATACCACCAAAATACACATACTAATGAGTCAATGGTTTACTGAAGTGAGTGCATACTGCCAATGAGTGTGTGTTTTAGGGACTGTTAGGTGTGTGTGCATGTTTTTTTTTGTTTTTTGTTTTTTGTACTTGCTATATAGTGAGGACCAAAACAGTTTTTACTACAAGAGTAAGGACATTTTTGGAAAGTGAAGACATTTTTGGCCAGTCCTCACTTTCTGAAACAGGTTCTTGAGGGTTAACATTTGGTTTTAGGGTTCAGGTTAGAATTAGGTTTAGGGTAAGGGTTAGGTTTAGGCATTTAGTTTTGATGGTTAAGGGTTAGGGTAAGGGGCTAGGGTATGCATTATGTCAGTGAGTGTCCTCACAGAGATAGAAGTATGTGTGTGTGTGTGTTTGTTTTTATCCTACAACACCACCCAAGAACCGGTCAGACGGTGTATTAAGTCACCAGAATGAAGAAATGGAGAACTAGTTTTACCAGAGAGAGACAGAGGGAGAATTAAAGTGAAAGATAAGCAGAGAGAGAAACAAGTCTAGGTAGCGTTACAGCTCCGGGTACTAAGTCCAACACTGACTCGCAACATTTCTCTTTTCTCCTCCGCAGTTTTTAATGCATATACGTATTTTACCGAAAAGACAGGTTGAAATACCAGACAGCAGCGGTGTCAGTTTGGTGTCCCAGTTTGGTGGAAGGCTGTCCCGGGACAGACGCACACATCTGTAATAACAGACAGAGCCACAGCGACACGGACAAAGCCCCAGGGAAGAGGACCGTGTCAACATGCCAGTGCGACAGAAAGGTACCTGAAATGCTTTTTGATCGTTCTTTTGTCTTTTGTCCAGGCAAGGAAACAGCATCGAATAAAAGCCATCTTCGGTGCCGAGCACGGCGACACGCTCTTCTACACTACGTTCGAGCACCAAACTTTTCTAAAACACCCCCAATTTAACGTTTAATCGTTCACCGGTATTCGTAGACCACAACTTTCTAGCTTCTACTACTTATTCAGACCTTGGGGTAAATTCGGCATTGATATGTATACAAGACTGGACATTACTGTTTTAATCTAACGTTACTTTTGCTGGTTTGCTTTATGCGTCTGCACGGAAATGCACAGATATAATGGGATTCATGTCAAGTTTTCTGACTTAGTTTATTTGATTGTATTGTTGCTCCTTGTATAAAAAAAAGACAGCAAATGGTCCATGCGTGTTCTCCACGTCATACTTTATGTGGTTATAGATTCCTAAAAGTGATTATTTAGGAATCTGTCACCTAAATTACCATAATTCTGACAGCTGTTTAGCTTGACATCTTCCCGTGCATTGAGGCGTCTGACACATTTCGTCTGAGTTTGATGTGATCAGACAGTGCTTCCGGTTTAATCAGCTGTTCCATCGTGCCTGGAATGCTGTTTTGCCCTTGTGTCCTTTAGCATCAGAACAACAAAAATACATGGCATTTAATGGTCGCCACAATCCATAAAATGCAGACAGTGACAGGAATTTTCAGCATTTGCTGCAAAGAGCTACTGTTCCCCTAAGATGACTTGAAGTGAGCTGAGGACAAACATGCATCTAGATCTACTTCTGTTAAGCAAACAATTCTTGTAAATCTATCAATAAATAAACAGAACTGTTTGAACACTTTATTTTTGCAAGTCAACATTAATGCCAAATACTGCAAACTGAGTAGCTGAGACAGAAGGAGAAAGAACACAGGCACTCTTTAGAAAAATAAGGAGACAGGGTATATTAGAAGCCTCCTGACACTAATAACACCTGTGTCCACACTCACTGTGAGGAGCCAAGTGTTATTAGTCTGTGCTTTATTAAATTCACCCTGATAAAGACTCTGTGAGAGTTTTTAATAATCTCAGATCTAAGATTGCTTGGATAATTTTGTCTTTCATTTTCTGTCATTAGTTATGGTGAAAAAGAAATGTTTAGTATGTACCTGTGTATGTTGTATTCAGATGCCCAGAGAGCCCTGGAGCTTCTCCAGCAGTACCGGGCCAAACTAGACCAGAGACAGCAGAACCAGAACCAGACCAAACAGGGCCCTGTGGAGGAAGATCGGCACCTGCAGCAGTCACTGGACAGAGTTATCAATGTCTTCCAAAGTCAGCTCTTTTGCGCTCTGCTCGGTAAGAACAAGTAATATGTCATGTGAAATGAGTGACTGCATAAATATTCACCCCCTTCAAGTCACTGCTTAGTAGATGCACCTTTGGCTGCACTCACAGCACTGAGTCTGTGTGGATAGATCTCAGTCAGGCTTGCACATCTGGACACTGCAGTTTTACTCCATCCTTTTTTGCAAAACTGCTCAAGCTCTGCCACGTTGCGCAGGGATTGGGTGTGAACAGCCTTTTTCAAGTCCAGCCACAAACTCTCTATTGGATTGAGATCTGGGCTTTGGCTCGGCCGCTCCAAACACTTATTTCACATTACATATTTTTATTTAATTGACATTACTTTGTAGAAACCTGTTTTCACTTTGACATTAAAGAGTTTTTTTTTTTTTGTAATTTTCTTTGGTCAAAAAAGCCAAATTATATTGACCATGATTGATTTATAAAATAAAAGGGTAAAACATCCAATGGGGTGAATACTTTTTATAGGCACTGTAGTTCTGTTTGCAGTTAACTGTCACTTGCTGGAAGCAAAACTCAGGACAGATGTGTGTGGTTATTTGCATGATGATAAACTGGTTCCAGGTCCCACCTGTTTTGCGTCACACCCACAGCTCTAGCTGTTACAGTAGCACACCTTTCTCTGTTTTGTGTGTAATTAAGTGTGCACATGTGTGTGTGCTTTTCACTCAACATGAGTCTAACTTCCTGTTTTGAACATAACTTTGACCTTTAACCAGGCAGTCTCTTGTGTTAAAAGTGTATATTGAAACAGTGTTATCTTTCCTTGGTAAATATTTCTTCTTAGTGATCCTTGACTTCCTTTATGTTGACTTCATCTGCAGGGCTTTTTAACACGTTTGAATATACTCCATGTATATCTCTTCTTTGCTTTTTACACCCCTCCCCCCAACTGTATTCCCAGTCCTCTTCCCACTTACAATACCTCTTTGTTTTTCCTTTTTTATTATTTCTGTTATGACCGCCAAACATATTTGAGTCAAGCAGTTTGAACTTAGGACCATGCGTATGACTTAGAGTACAAGTTCTGTATGCAGAGAGGAGGGCGTGAAACAGTCACTCAGATATGTTCTGTCATGTCCTCATTATAAAAGGGAAATAACAGTGGAATAAAAATGAGCTTGCAGGAAACCCTGGAGCTCCTGTTCTGTGTAACTGTGGTAGCAGTGTCTCTGTGATACCACTAGAGCTCACCAGTGTATTTGCTGTGTTCTCTGTACTTTATGAAATAAAGCGGCCTGCAGTTGCTATGACATGCTTCATTTGGTTTTCATCTGAATCAAAGAAGTGTTAAACAGTAGTTATTAAGGACTTATCTTATATTCAGAAAACCTATATGGGGCTGAAGTTAATAATTCATTATTGTTATTGATTATGGATCTGCAGTTTAATTGTTTTTTTATTAATTGGTCAATAGGTTTATTTTTCAGTCCATAAATAAAATGGTTTTTTTTGTAGGATCCAACTGTAAATAATTTTCAAACTCAAGTCACAATATTATAAAACAAAAAGGCCACACAGCCATCACATTGTAGAAGTTGGAACAGAGTGGATTTTGACTGACCTAAAAGATCATGTGATTGTCAAAATAGCTGTAGATTAATTCCGTGCTTATTGAATATTAGGTTCAGCTCTGAAGCTCTGTATCTTGGAGAGTTCTTGGAGAGCACCGATACCAATCAATTAATTTCTTTTCATTATTAGCTTTATAAATAGTTTTAATACAGTCATGCATTCAATATTTAATGCATTCTGTAAGCCATAGCTTTATTTACTAATTCAATAAACCCTTCAGTCATTCATCATGACTCTAACCTCACCTTTTCTACTTCCAGATATTCAGGAGTGCTACGAGTTTACTATTCTTGCAGACAGCACATATTCTGTGGACCAGAAAGAGGGTGTCGGGAACCTGTCTGCCTCCTGTAACCTGCCAGCAGAGCTCTCAACACAGCCACAGGCCTCCTCTGCTCCCCTGAGTCCACAAACATCTGGAGTACCATCTAAGCCAAAACCCCTGACCCCCAAACCCAGGTCATTCAAGTCTCTTGCCCCTCCAGTCCCATCTGGAATACCCACGATACAGCCATCTTCCCCTGCAGCACAGTCCAATACACCTCAGTCACAGTCAATGAAGCTCAAGTACCGTGCCCCTCTTCCTCCTGTTCAGTCAGAAGCTTCGAAGCCTTCAGCAGCAGAGAACTTTAAGCCCTCTTCTCCCATTACTGCCACATCACCTGGAGCGAACTGTGTAGAAACCCCCACCGGCTCCATAAAAACACCTACTGGGGTGTCACTGAATGGAACAAAGGCAAACCTTGGTGCCACCAACTTTGATGTTTCTTCAGAAAGCTCTACCACCTACGTCAATCCACAAAGCCTTCCCTCCTCACCCGACCTTGGCCCTGTGACCGTCTCAGCCCTTGTTTCCAGCACCATTCAAGGGCTTGTATCACCTACTACTCCAGACAAACTCACCCCCAGCAGCACCAGCCCAAGCACCAGCCCAGGTCCCAGCAGAGTCACCTCTCCGGCTCTTACGACCAGCACAAACCAAGCATTAAGCAAAGTCACTCCCAGTAAGAGTCCAACTAGCCCCAACCAGGGAAAATTTACCTTCAGCCTCCGCAGCCCCATAAGTCCATCAGATCCATCAGGGCCTTGGACCAAAGGACCTCATCTGAGGTAAGTCACATTAGCAAACCAGATTTTACAACCGTTCACTGACATTTTAACAGACTTAATTAACTCTGTCAGATTCAGTGCAAAACACTAGAAAAATGTGCACTTAACAGAAGCGGAATAAGGAAAAACGTATGACTTCAGTGACTGTTTGATCAACCAGTGCTACAGAATGAGCTATGAGAGCTTTTTCATCAATGTGCAGTTCATGTTATTCTAGGTGGTCCTTCTCTGGTCAGCTGCTGTACTGTAGCCATGCTGGTCAGGCTAACAAACTCATTTATTTTATTTAGCTCCACAAAACAGAAAAATCAAAGCCCATTTCAAGAAGGATTTACACTGTCCCTGGTGTTTAATGCAGCAAAACGGATATGGGTTAAATTACACCTCTTTCAGTTTCTGTTCAGTCAGAGGTAGAAATGCATAAAATGTTCTTTTATTATATACAAAAATGTCTCAGATTTTTATTTTAATGTCACTTTTAACTGCTTTAGTGTGTGTGACAAAATACGGTATATGTATGTCACCATGGTTAAGTGACACACATAATACAGCACTGCATTTTGGTTGCTATTGGGAACTCAGGTGTAGGTAGTACAGAAAAATAACTGCCAGTTTTCAGAGTTCATCTCAAGGCACCCTCTCTCCCTGAACTCTGTTCGTAGTCCAACCAGCCCTGGGCCAGTAAAAGTCGCCTCCCCTAGCCCCAGGCATGGTCCAGCCAGCCCAAGGCCAGCTACAAGTCCACTGACCCCCAACAAGGTAAGACATCTCTGGTTGTTCTGGTTTATCTTTACAGCCCTAATTGTAATGTTTCATATTCAGCATCATTTTTGATGTCATCCATCTTGAAAAAGCTCAGCATCATGAGTGAGTGCAGTCCCATGTGTGTGAAGCTTCAGGGTGCATGTGAAGCTCTAACTAAACCCGTACCCACAGTCAAAGTTGAAATCAGAGCATCCATTGCTATACCACTGTTACTGTTTACTTGGCAGAGAGTGACCTGATAAAACAGCAGAGTGTTGTGTGTGTAGTATATAAACCTTTGTGTGCACATGTCTCTCTATGTTTTTGTTTGTTTTTGTGTGTGTGCTGAGTGTATTCTGCCTGTGTGGATACATATTCTGAGCCATAAATTCTGTGGTAAAAATGTGGCTACCTGCTGCCATAAAAAAAAGACAGCAGCTGGAAAACGAGAGTGGGTGGAGGTGCAAAGGACAGCTGCCATGTTTCCCAGTTGGCCTCTGTTTTAGTGGAGAAGTTCTCTCCTGCTGCCCTGAAGAAGGGACAGGTGGAGAGGACACGAGACAGAGAGGAGAGAGAGACTGAGGGATGAAAGGAGACGATGAGAAGCAGGAGGCAGAGAAGGACAGACGGCAGCTGAGTGGTGGAATGGGGAAGTTGCAGCTGGAAGATGGTTTGTTGAAAGTTTGCCAGTCGGACTGGTGAGGATGGACTGCATCTGTATCCTCACTGCCAAGGTGAGACATGCGGAAGAAAGCAGATTAAAGCAGAGCAGAGGAGATTGGTAGAACAGGGTGTGACAATGTGCACGTACAGCTACGGATCAGATTTTCTAATTAAATTAGTTTTGTGGTCAGTGATGGCAGTCATTCATTTATTACAGTAAGCCCTGTGTTTGCTGAAACTGTATGTGAATTGTGTGCTAAGTGTTGACCATGCCTGAGGATCAGACATATTTATCATTATAAACTGTCATCAAGAAAGCATGATTTTGGTGGAAAAGTGAGCAGAGACCTGTAGCCCTTTGGGGGGATTCTACTTTACACATCTAAATGAATTGTTTCACAAGGCTTAGTAAATGATGGGAAGCTAAATGCACTTGCTCACAGTTAGCCTTATCAAAGTCGGAACAGGCTGTTCATTGTGCAGATGGCTTGCTTTAATTTGTGAATGAACATGCTACAAGGTGATAGCTTCGAGGAACAGGCTGTGCTCTCGCGAAGCAGCTCTGATGGGAATACCAAGCTGTTGCTCAGCTGTTGGACAGACAACATGCGACACCCACAGAGACAGGAAAATGGGATGATGGGACGCACACTTCAAAAAATGAGCCATCTGACTTGTTGACTGGCATTGTAGGTATGCACAGGTTGACTGAATGACTGGTCACAAGGCAGTAGAGACAACTTGGCAAAAGGTCTTGGCAGGCAAAATGAAACACATACATTATGTGCATGTTCAGAAATGCCACTTTAAAACACCAGAACCAGAGCTCTTCTTGTTGTTGTCAGGAGGTCACTACCACGTTTTCTAGTGCACATGTGTGGGATATGTAGAGTTAGAGTGTATGCATGTTCAGAAATGCCACTTTAAAACACCAGAACCAGAGCTCTTCTTGTTGTTGTCAGTAGGTCACTACCATGTTTTCTAGTTTACATGTATGGGATATGTAGAGTTAAAGTGTGATCAAGGCTTGATAAAGACATGACATGTGATAAGTGCTCGAATGGGGATAACAGAAAGTCTCCCCTCTGAGGCATTTCTGGTGTTGCACCCATTTGTACACATGGAAGGAGGCGAAAAAAGAGAGCTACAGAGAAAAGGTTTCATCCTTGAGGTTATTTGCAATTAACAGAATGAAAAACATTGACTGTGTGGTTAAATCCTAGTTTAGTCTTGTTCTTTGGATGTGTCTAAATCTTTGGCACTTTGGGTCTTGATTCAAACTTGAAGCTGTTTTCGACTCACTTTTGGTTTGTGGACCTGTGATCGATTAGGCGTTTGAACCATAGTGGCCCCATGAAGGATAAACACATTGGCTACTAGGTCCCCCTGCTGCCTTACTATAATATACTACTTTGCAGCCAGTTCATGAGCTTGCTTATGAGGAATTACAGCAGATGAAACTACAATATATGTGATTACATTTTGCTACGGCTGATACAATGCTTGTTGCAACAAGTCTTTTCCATGTGATGGCGCAAACATGAGCAATCTGTGGAAACATCTTGCATCGTCCACTGAATACAGGCAGAGAAATGTACAGTTTTCGTATACCAGATTATAAAGCAAAATGCTTAAAAATCCTTTCACATCTTGTCATATCATTATTTTTTGCACCAAATTATGAAGCATAGTATCAGTAAGGAGTATTCTAACGATACCCGTCCCTAATTACTGCTGTGTTATACAGTATTTCTGTACATACGTATTCTATGTTATGACAGCTTCTATAGACCTGATGAAGTTAATGAGATCCTAAATCCCTGCATGCCCCAAGTTCACAAGAGACATGACTTAGATAAAAAGAATATTTACAGAACATTGTTTAGGTGCTGCTGTGTCTGAGTTTTACCACACGGTGGCGCCGTTTGTCAGTTAATATTTGATGCTGCATGGTTTCAGCAGTGTACCTACCAAAAGTGGTCCAAAAGGGCAACCGGTGAACCGGTAACTGTCACGGCTGTCCAGGGCTTAAAAATCTGGTCTGATCTCACAAAAGAGCTGCTGTAGAACTAATTGCTGAAAAACCTGGCTATGATAGACAGGTGTCAGAACATGCAGTGTTGATAATCGTGTTTTCTTTTACATCATGTGAATGGCTGGTTGCATGTGCATCATTCGGCTGGGGAAATGATGGCACCAGCAAGCACTGTGAGAAGAAGGCAAGCCGGTGGAGGCAGTGTGATGCTTTTTATTTCTGTGCTGGATGACCTACTAATGTTAACATGGGCTGTAGTGTTTGCCTGCTTGGCTCATAAAGTAGTATCCTCACTCTCTTTGTTTTTGTCCCTTGTTCAATCCTCTTTCTAATGTTTCATTCTTCCCTGACCTTCTGACCTGATATTCTTCCCTGACCTGATATTCTTCTTTGTTTCATCTTTCACTGATTTTGTGTGTGATGTTTGTAATGTGATGTCACATGGCATCCTTACACTCACACTGTGTTTTATGAACCATATGAGCCAGAATGCCTGTGGGTATACCAGATGTTTGAATCTGTGCTTGTATGTATAGTATGTTTGTGCGTGCATGTGCATGGACATCAGCAGGATCTGTTCCTCGTAAAACAAAGAGGGACTCATCTAGCTGGTCTAAAGACAACAAGATGTTTAGAAGAGTGACACTTGGCCCAAAACCAACTCCTTAGTTTGTTCTGGAGGAATCCAATTCAAGGTTCTCTTAAAAAAAATCAGAAAGCTTAATGTCCAGAACATTTTCATAATAATATGTCCCTTCTGTTGTCAGGTATCACATGAATATGTATCCAGTTTTTGAGGGGTCTTACATTTACACTTTTATACACGTTTAGTAAAAGTTTACAGCCCCGCAGTAAATGTTTGTTGCGAGTAGTTGGCCTGTTTAAAGAGTGATCTCAGGTATGTGCACCGCAAAACAAATGTCACCAGGAAATAAGTAATCTCCAAACACAAAAGAGGATGGATTACTGGGATAAAATTTGCCAAAATTAGGTTGGCACAGATGCATATTCTGCTTCAAATAGGATGTTGGAGATGAAGTTCCTGCTGCGCTCAGAATAACCTTTCATATCATTGCATTATTTATATGACTACTACCTGCCTCAACCTCTGGACTTAATTGACTGCTCCAGGCTTGAACCTGTGCAGCTTTTATCTTTGCACAGCTGGGAAACCTAAAAATAATTTCATATGACTGGTTACCAAGTAACGTGAGATATAATCTTGGGTTGTGGATTAATTACTTTCATCACCAGTAAACTTATTGTTCTTTTGTTAGCATCAGTTTCTCTCTCTTTGTCTAACCCACCTTTCTATCTACTATGTCTCCCTGTCTATTCCTTGTGGCTCACCTCAGCCTGTTTGCTTGTTTCCCTTGCTTTACTCTCTACTTTCTCACACATTGATTCCCTCTCTCCACTGTCTTTTCTCTCATGCTGCGTTGTTTGTTTTCGAGTCAAGGTGAGAAGATGGAGAACCACAGAGAGGCTACTGTGTGTGTGTGTTTGGGAGTGTATGTGTGTGATGGTCCAGATGGCCCAGCCGTCAGCATCAAGAGCCTCGGTTGAAGAGTGCACTTTCAATTGTTTGACTCCCTCTGCCCTTTATCTCCTGTAAACCCTCTCCTCTGCTCGCCATCAAATGCAGGAAAATAATCGCAACATACTGTAACTCTACAAACTACGTCAGTTTTGTGCAAGCAAGTTTTCCTGTTAATAACGAGATACAGAGATGATATAACCTACACCTAAGGCCATGTCCGGCCTCATTAAAAAAAACAAAAAAACACACAGCCCTCTTATTCATTTTAATTAGACGCATCAGGTGACACAGCAGGGTGCCACTGCAGAGGGCTTCAGCTAAAAAATGCAGGGCTGTCCAGCAAAAAGCTGAATTAGGCTCAAGTTTTGTGCAAGGCAACATCATTTGATAAGGTTCTGCAATGACCAGAAACATATACACATTTCCAATCAATTACTTTGTAACTTTGATAATGTACTGCATATGCACTGTTTACCTTGCGGCAGCAAAGGATTAAGTGATTTCCCCCACAGTAACTGTAAAATCCTCTTTATTGTAAACCGCTGTGAAGTGTTTTAGTGTCAGATAAGCCTTCAAACTCATGAATCTGTTACTCAAACCAGACTTTCTGGATAGTGTTTGATGTCTCACTTTTACCTGAAGCAACAGAGTTCTTAGCAATATGGCAAACCTGTGACATCTCACTTTGAGTGAACTAGACACTCTACTTTATGTTAGAGCAAGATACAAGCATTTATATGGTATGTTAAAGTTCTTACTGGTTTCTTCGGAATGTGG